TTCTCCTTCTATCCTCCCTAGTCATTGTCCAACTCTCTGATGCATAACAAGTGATTGCAAAAACCATGGCCTGTATCAGGCGCATCTTAGTCTCCAGAGAGACACCGTTGCTCTTGAGTACTTTAGAGAGGTCCCTAATCGCAGACTTATAGCCTGTGAAAATCTGCTGGCACGTCAACTACAAGTTGGAATGAATTTGACAGCATATAACAACCTCCTCCTCAAATTGAAATTCTTTGTGGATGATTTTGGATAGCCTTCTTCCCCTGCAATCTGTAACTGAAATCCATTCTCTTTTCATTATAAGACCTTTTGACCTTGTGCTGCTGTCTTGTGCCCTTTGGTGGCATGGGGAGTTGTGCTGCTAGTGTCTCTGCTGGCTTGAAACCGTCAGCGGCCCTAAAGGGAGGAGATGAGTGATCTTTCCCAGTGCTATTTAAAGCCTGTAAAGCAGCTGGAGGGTGAGCTATGAGTTGGTTCCAACTTGACAGCAATGAGATAAGCACTTGCCAAGACAGCAGAACCACGGTTTTCCTGTAACACTTTTCCTATCCCCTCCATGTAATTCTCATTTCCATTAATCCTTCTATCCTGGAAGGTCAACTCTGAGTCAGTTCCCACTCTATGCAATGAACGTTTGATTGTTATTTTGTTTTTTTACATTTTCGATTTCTCCAACCTCTTTTGGCCTTCAGGTCTTTATGTTTGAGCAAGTACTGCCCTTTGGCCTTACATGGTTGGTTATTCTAAGGGGTGGCTGCTTCCCTGATGCTATTGGTCATTTACAAGTCTGTCTATTGTTTAGCTGAAAGGTGAGCCATGGAGGTGAGTGTTGTGTTGTGTTTGAAGCATGACTAGTGCCATAAGTTGTAAGGAGAGGGAATTGCCTCAGCCATCTCCTTTTGGAGCTCTGGTGGTGCAGTCAGTAAAGAATTGTGCTCCTAACCCAAAGGCAGCACATCTCTGACTGTTCAAATCCCATGGAAGAAAGATGGACCATCTCCTCTTCTGAGAGTTACAGCCTTAGGAACCCAGAATGTTATTTATGAGGAGGTTCGACTCAATGGTAATGATTTTTTTTTCTGTTGAAAGTTGGGGATCTAAATTACCATCTCATGATTAGCAACCCACGTGTAGAATATTATGCCACCTGGCCTTATTTTTAAATTATCTCTTGGCTTTATGTTATGGCTATGATGGCTGACAACTTAGATTTCCCATGATGCCACAGCTTACCATCACTGTTGTCTCCATCCCCAAACTCTCCCTCTCTTTCACACATGCTTTTGCACGCACACACGAACACACACACACACACACACACACACACACACACACACACACCACACATGCACACTCTTTCTTTTAAACCTATCATCATAGTTGTTGTTGTGTCCAGTCAGAACTGACCCATAGCTGACCCTCCAGCGGGTTTTCAAAGGCAGTTGATTACTTGGGACGAGGTTGCCCTTCCTTCTTCTGTGGAGCAGCTGGTGGGATTCGAACTATATACCTTCAGGATTGCAATGCAGCTTCTTGTCAGTAGGCCACCAGAGCTCCCCAGCTATAATAGTTTTATTCTCATTTTAGGTTAAATCAATTCTCATGACTAAACAGAGCTATTTTATATTGCTTTGATTTTTCTATGCCTTGGATATTATTGAAGGGCACCTTACCTTAGCTTTCCATGAATTGTACAATATCTTTTCAAGTCTTACAACTTGCACTTATAATTTTTATACGTATAAGCACATCTTTTTTTAATGTCCTTGTGAATGCTTATTTCATCCAATAGCTTCTTGGGAGTGAAAATAACACTTGTGAGGGCTAGAAAGACTGAAGATATTTTGATTTCTCCTAAATTTGGCTGACTGGGAAGAGGCTTCAAGCATGGAAATGAAGGTTTGTTTCCTCAGAATTTTAAAAGTCTTGCCTTCTGGTCTTGGAATGTTGTTGTGGAAGCTGTCCAGTCTATTATTTTATTTTATTTTTTAAAATGGTTTGGGTGAAAACTTACAGGGCAAATGAATTTTCAACTCAACAATTTAGACACATTTTGTTTTGTAACATTAACTATCATCCCTTCAATGTAAAGCACTTTCCCTACTCCCTTCCACCCAGATTGTTCTAATTCTGACGCTTTGGGCCCTGTTGCTGATTCATCTGTAGAGTTTAGGATCTTTTTATCTTTTCTTACTTAACCTTTAGTATTGTGCAGTCTTGTGATGGCATTCCTTGGAGTTAGTCTTTTTCTTTCTTTCTGGGCACACTGGTCTCTCAGTTCTGAGAAATCTTGGATTCCTCTTTAGTAATTACCTTCTCCCCTCCCCCTTCTGGGTGACTACACAGAGCAAAGAATTGGGAAGAGCGAAGGAACCCCACTGAGCTTTTATTTACTACAAGGACAAGTCAGAGGAGTTGGAGTCCCTCCTAGGGAGATGAAAATTACAGCCCAAGAAAATTGAGTCCCAGTCTCTTTGTTATTCCAATAGTACTTAAAATGAAGCAGAAAAGAGTGCTGCTTAGGGAGCAGAAAGCAGAAGGAGGTGTAAAAAAACAAACCAAATCTGTGACTATGGAGTCCACTCTGAATCCCAGAGATACTGCAGGACAGAGCACCTTGCCCACAGGATTTTCAAGGCTTTAAGTCTTTATGAAGAGTGAGACAAAACTTGAAAAATGCCATGCATATGGTATAATCATATTAACCCAAGGAAACTCTGGTGGCCTAGTGGTATGAAGTTGCAGTGCCAACCCTAAAGCAGGTGGTTCAACCCCACCAGCTGCTCCACACAAAAAGATGGGCAATCTGTTCCCATGTGATTACACTCTCTGAAAACTATCTGGAGAGTTAGCTGAGTTGGTTCTGACTTGATGATAATGACTTGACCTTGGATTTGAATAAATGTTTAAGTGCTTACTCTGTGTTGTTAGATATTATTCTAGGCATTTAGGGGATATAATAATGTGATTATATATAATGTGGTTATATATATATATGTGATTATATACATGTATATATGTGATTATATATGCGTGTATATATGTATATATGATTATATATGTGTGTGTATATGTATATGTGATTATATATGTGTGTATATATGTATATGTGATTATATATGTGTGTATATATATATACCATACACACACACACACACTATATATATCTCAGAGACCTGAAAAGACCAGACTCCCTATCCTGCAATACTGTAGTAAAGAAGACATAACAAAAAAAGTAAATTATATGTAATAGCAAAATATTACATGTGTTAAAGGGAAAAAAACCCTCTCAAACAAACCCATGTCTATATATTTACCACTGTTTCTCTGTAGGAAGGAGCTCTAGTAGCCTCATCTGCAAAGAGATATGCTGCTAACTGTAAGGTCATGGGCTTGAGAGAAAGGAACCAGAGGGGAAGAAAGCTTAAAGGCAGCTTTATTAAGGGAGCTCCTGGGCGAGGTTCTTTGGTTTGGAGGGAGAGACCAGGGAAGGCGCTTCCAAAGTCTATTTAGGCAGGTTTTTATAGCATGGTCTTACGGACGGGGGAGGGGTAAAGACATTCCACTGTAGTTGGTGGTTGGTCACACCAGGTGGGTGCAATTTCCAATTTTCTATGCCATGAGACCACACTTTTCAGTAGACTGATCACAGGACTGAAGAATGCAACA